GTTGTAGTCATTTTCAACCCTCGAGCAGTACTTCCTGAATGCACGGACGGAGCTCGGAGTCTATGTTACGCCCAGGAACGAGAATACTGATCGTTTGCTTGAAGAAGCTGCCTCGAAGTCAGCAACGGTAACGTTTTAATTTAGTTTTTATTATTTTTATTCGTAGACCCAATCTTCTGTCACCGCGACGCTGATCTCCCCATCCACGCTGCTTTCCACAGTCGGCAGCCCGTCTGCAAATCCGTTGACCTATCAGCCCAACAATGTTGTGGTGCGTTTTTGGCATCGTTTTTCTGTACATTCAAGTCTTAGAAAATGCAAACACGGCTTTTTTAGGCCCGACTGTTGAGCGGTGACCGAACGGCGCCGACTATTGCCTTTGTCGCACACTACGATACGCACTCGGCCTTTCCGGTTTGCCTTTCAAAAACTAAAATTAACACTTCTTTTCAGGGACTTGGAACTGGCACCGATTCGAACGGAAGTGGCGTCGTCGCCCTCCTCGAACTGCTCGCCATCCTGAAGAAGTTCTATGATCGCACATCAACCCGGCCGAAATATAATGTGGCCTTCATCTGGACCGCCGCTGGCAAATCAAACTTCCAAGGCGCACGGCAGGCCGCTGAATCTTTCCTATCAAAGGACGCTGGTATTCTACGGAATAGGGATTTTATAGGTCGTTTTCAGAAAGCAAACTCGAATTGGCCATTTGTCTGGAAGGCCTGGGTGGAAAGGGCCCGCTGGTGATGCACGTCGCCAAGAATCCCACAGAGGGATCGGCCTCCGAACGATTTTTGAAGAAGCTGGGTGCCATTGAGGATGTCAAGGTGAGGCAATTCCTTTTTGCATACCAAAAATTTTTAAGGTGGTGTCAAAGAAGATCAACATGAACCAGCCATTGTCATGGGAACACGAAAAGTAGGACATTGATGATTATCTTGATGATTTTTAGGTTCAACATCAAGCGTCTAGCGTCGGCGACGATTAGTCGTTTCTCTGGACCCGATGTTCCGGTGCGACGATCCCTGGTTGACAGCCATCTTGACCGCGAACAGCTTTCCGGAGCCATTTTGTAAGGGAAACGAGGATATTTCGAGTTTTTGGATTCCAGGGCACTGACAGAAGCGACACTCGCGTATCTGCTCCAAATTGAAGCGCCTACCGACATTCCAAGGTCAGCGGATCTATTTATATTTTCTATATTATCATTTTTCCGTTTTAGCCATGTGCGAGCCGAATACAAAATGATAAGCAAAGACGAGGTCAGCCGGGAGCGGCTGGATTTCTTTATTGAGAAGGTATATTTTGATACCCCCCCCCCTTTCAAAATGGTCTTTTAGTTAGCGCACACCCAGCGCTCGGTTGCTGACGAAGTAAAGACGAAGGAAATTGCCGGCGCCATCGCCTCAATCGCCGGCGGCTACGCGAAGGTATATATTGAATACATTTGGCACACTATTTGTTTAGGTTTCCCAGCAGGCTGTGGTCTTATCAGAATCATCCGTGTGGGGCGGAATTCAAGACACGATTGTGGCCGAGCGGATCCGCCCGGCTGCTTTCGAGCTTTTTATTCTGGCCGGGGTTTTCGCCTATTTGGCCATGTTCTCACAGGTATTTTGGCTAATCTTGGCACCTCCACCATTTAGGTAACAAATCACATCCTTCCCTTCATGGAGGGTGCCGTCAAGAAGTTGAAATGAAGCACCACATCTCGCTCATCATCCGTGATCTTCCATTTATTTATGTTGGCCGCTATCCATTCCTTTACAAGTTTCGATCGGGATTGATCTACTAGGTCTCTTGTCTTTTGTGTAGTTGTCTTCCCTTGAGGCGTACGGTGCCAATTGTTGACTCTGGAGCTCATTGTTGTTGTTCCGAACATCGTTTGTTTAGTTCTTTAAATACTTAATACTAATAAAATTACGCCTAATAAATATTTATTCGAGCAGAGATATCGCACATGACATTATGGCGGTTTGATAGCTGAATACAATTTCGTACGTTTGACTTTTGAACACGATTTAGCTAACAATACATACTGGATACTAATTTTAATTAGTTTTTAGCGATAAATTGGCATTGGCCTCCCCGTGTGCAAGCTTTTGTTCAGGCTATTTCTGGGTCTCTCACTAACCTATCCTTTAGCATCCACATTTGCTCTCTGGGTCTCTCAATTTGGGGTTATCTCTCGTGTCCGTCTGATCTGACGGGCTGCACGACCCTCTTCGCACCCACTCTTTCCCACAATTCCAGCGTACACGTGGAGTCTCTGATATTTATTTTATGGTTATTGCGCCGAAATTGGCTAATTTACATGGGAGCTTGCACTGTCTTTGCCGTTCCCCCTTCATTTTTCGCCTATCTTCGAATTTTACACAAAATTTTTCCAGATGGGCCTTTTTGGCGTCGCACTACTCGGGGTTTTTGCCTGTAACTTGGTGGTTATTAGCAGCGGTCAGGTATTTCTTGATTTTACTTTGGCAAATATGAATTTAGGCGGCGGCTTTCAAGCGCTTCGAGTACAAACACTCCTTCCGAGCACCCAATTTGGCCCAGCGCGATGGCAGCATCCCATTCTGGACGGTTTGTTGGAATTGAAGGCTTTATTCCGGGTGTTTTCCAGGTTACTGGTGACGCGATTGCATCTGGTGAACAGCTGCGTTTGGCGCCTTCGATGAGATCAAGGAAGGGAATTGCTTGGAACAAGAGGCAATTCGTCGAGAGCGAACATTTTGAGGTAGGCTTTCATTCATATAGCTAACGAACTAATTTAGATCGACGTCTCGCTGAAAGTTTCGGGCCAGGGCAGAATCGGAGCCGATGGACTCGGTCTCTGGTACACGGCCGGTCAAGGAACCCTCGGACCTGTATTCGGAGCCAACGACTTTTGGACCGGTATGGGTCTGTTCTTCGATTCGTTCGACAACGATGGACAGAAGAACAATCCGATGGTAATATTTATTCATTTGTCTCAAAGATCGTCCTCCAGATTTCCTTGATGATCAACGATGGAACCCGCAATTACGACCATCACACTGACGGCAGCCAGCAAATTTTGGCCAGTTCGTGGAGTTTGTAGAGTATTTTAATTCTTTTCTAGGCTGTCAACGCGATTTCCGTAACAAGCCGTTCCCGGTTAGAGTGCGAATTGAATACTTCAAGAATGTACTCACCGTCCATGTCGATGATGGCATGAGTCAGGTTCCAAGGTTAGTCAAAAGCTTTCGTGCTATTAACGTTGAATTTCTAGATACGAGTTGTGCCTGCGAGCCGAGAACATTTTCCTGCCCCGAAATGGCTTCTTCGGTGTTTCTGCCGCTACTGGTGGACTTGCTGGTAATTATTTTCTCCCATTTTGATTTGTTTCCATAGTGCATCAAAAGGCAAGACCCTCGTTCGGTGAGTAGGTGTAGTTGTGACGTTTTCTGGCCCCTTAGAGTGTTGCATGGCATCGTATACTAATAATTTACAGACGACCACGACATTACGGACTTCTCAGTCTTCTCGCTCTTCCAAGAAACGCAGAAGCCTGCCGCCGAACAACAATTGCCACAGGTTTTTTCGCCCAAAACCGAGTTTACCTCGATTTCAGGCCGAAAAGACAAAATACGACGAGGAGTTCCAGAAACAAATGGAAGAATATGAGAAGGAGCGTCAACGGTTAGAAAATTAGTTTCGCCTCATCAATGGTGCTAGGTACAAGGAACAGCATCCTGACAAGGCAAAGGATGACGATGAGGATGAGTTCGGGAAATATTACGAAGATGCGTCGGCTCGTGAATTGCGCCTCATCTACGAATCCCAGAATGCGATCCACGAGGTTGGAAATTTTAATAAATCTATATCATTTGATTTAGATAATGAAACAAATGGATCAAAAACTCATCGAAATCCGTCATCAACAGCTAACTGGCGCTGTTGCTGCCCAGCCGGTCCAGGGCGGAGGGCATGGTAAGATTGAAAGTTTTGATATATAGTCCTTGTCCTTTTTAGTGGTAGCCGGTGCACCATCATTTGCTGCACATGAGAAGAACGAGGTGATCCAGACGTTACGTGATCTCACCGCTTCCCTTCGTGACATGAAGAACTATGTGAACGAAATCTTCACGAAAACCTACAACATCGAACAGAAAATGGGTAAGATTTTGTGAAAGTGGAAATGTGTCTCTGAACAGATTACTTCTTTTCTTGCTTTCTCTTATTCGTTTAATCCCAAATTTTTAGGTGGTACCGTGGCACAAGCTGCAGGCCAAGCCCAGCCACAAGGTGTCGGTGATCTGGCCACGCAGCAGAGGCTCGACAGAATATTGGCTGATCTGAACACTCTTAGGGCCAATCAAGGAGCGGTAAGGAACATTCGCTTTGCGCTAACTCCAAAAATTAGGGCGGCGCTTCTGGAGGTGGTGACAGTTGTGCGAATCTCTCGTGCACGTCTTCCTCACTCTTCATGGGCATTATCTTCGTCCAAACTCTAGTCATCATCGGCGTTGTATTCATGAGGTATCTTACGACAAACGATTCAACTATTTTTTAGGAGCAAATCCGAGAAGCCGAAATTCTATTAGGAGTACTGATCGGAAACTACTGCCAACAACAACGATTCCAATCCGGGCACTATTTGTTTCGCTTCTATGATTTTTTCCCGACCTGGTCGGATGGGTCCCCCAAATAGGTTGTGTCTATCCCAAATGCATACCCCCTGACTGTGATTTTGGGCAACAAGCGTCTCTGGGAGGGCTTCTCCTTGGGCGCTCGCCCTCATCTGTGCTATTGTTTCTATGTGTCGCTAATACTCGCAGACTTCTACTTTCGCGGTAATCCTACTTTTCTCGGCTGCTAAGAAAACCCCCCACCTCGAGATTTTTCGGACTACCAAAAACTCGTCTTTCACTGTACGGTGCAAACAGCATGAAACCGTCGACAAGCGAGTTTTTTAATAAATATACCCGGATGGTTAGATGTTATAAGCATGAAATCACAGTAAAGTTGAACGATTTTTAGAGGGAGAGGCGCAAAAGGAGGCCCCAAATTGGGAGTGCCAGGATGAGAAATATTGGGTATAGATTACAACCGAATAGCAAGTGATTTGCGAGCATATGTCGGATCGGATCGACCATATCCTGGAGCTTCAGGTTAGCTCCATCTACACTTCCAAAGCCAATCAGCGGCAACACTAAATGACTTTGAGTTTTTGAAACTGCTCTTACCGTAAATGTTAACCAGCAGATAGATGATCAACGGGTGGGCTAATAGGACACATGTAGCTTGAAGGATCTGTCGTGCGCTGAACGGTACGGATAAGAAGCCAACTGAACTAGCCTTACCGGGGCTGGACCGACAGGTCTCGCGATAGGACGATGATGATTGGAACGGTTAGAATGGCCGTAAGAAGGGCCAACGGGAAATTGAGCAGACCAATCAACCCAAAGATCAGCGCCGATTCGAGGAGTAGCAGGAAACGAAGTGATGATTTCGACTTTTCAGCACTGAAAAAAATTAAAATAGGCTGCGCTTCGGGAAAACTTATTAAAGGGATGCCGAAGGCATAGTCAATCGGTTACGCGCTGGAAAGAAAATGTCTCTGCGCCTCTCCCCAGGGCGCGCTCTCTGCCCTGTTGGCTACTTGCCAATTTGTTGATGAGGGGGGATCGACACATGCCGTCGGCAGCCCTTTAAAAAACGAAAACTTACATTGGAAACAGCGCCGCAATCGGAAAAAGGATGGCTGCCAAGAGGCCTAGCCATGGTGTGTCGTCCGTCACGGCATGTTCACGGAAAACCTTGGTGGAACAATACCAGACAGCGACTCCAGCCCCGTGCGCCAACAACAGCGCCGACGGGATCACAAGTTTCTGTACAGCAAATACCCACTCTCGATAAGCCTGCAAAAGCAAGTTGCATCGAATTAGAATTTGGAAAAATAAAGAACCAAAGTAACAAAAGCCTACAAAGATGGCCAATGGCGCAACGACTCCACCAAGGATCGGCATGAAATACAGAATCGACACAAAGTTGTCTTCATCGGCTAGCACGTAGAGGAAATATGACTGGTGGAAGCTGGAAAGAGTCCAAGTTTTTATGGTTAATTAGATACCTCTCCAACAAGTTGTTCAACGAACGCATGATCGCCTCTACAAACTTTGCCGCTGTTTTCGGTGACCCGGAGTTCAGCGGAAGCCCAATGGTGAGACCCTAAACACAAAATATTAGAAACAGTTATAAACAGCAACCTGGACGCCATATTTTGTGCTGAGGGAATGCAGCCCTTCGACCGATACAAAAGCCTGTGTATAGAGAGCTCTGGCCGGAATGAGCCACCATGGATTGTTCCCACCCTAAAAAATTTTACGTAATTTTTTCAACCGTTTGCCAACCTCATGTCGGTCTCTGATTCCATAAATCAGGGATGGCATTCGAAATTTGCTCGTGGCACCAACACGAATCACGCTAAAAATCGAGAAATGAACTAAATCGGAAGACACCCACGTGTTGACGTAGTCCAAATTAGGCAGCTCTCCGTTTAGCTGATTGATTTGCAGCTCAATCTCTTTGCTGCTTTGCTTTGAATTTGCCTAAAAACGATATGAAGAAGGAATAGTAATACCTTGACGGCCAGCATTGCCGTCAGTCCATCGCCACGCGTCGGTAGCCGATCAAAAACGAGTCCACCTCGTTGGGTGTGGTGGAATGCGCTGAGAAAGGCTTCCACGCCCAGTGGCCCACCATCGGCCATCAGGATGAATATGTCGCGGGCCCAGTAGACTTGTTCTGAATGAAAGAATAATGGCAAGGAGAATCGAATGTTCACCTTGAGCATAGGCAGCAAACGCAACCACCAATGATATGGCGTGGTTATCCTTTGCGTCGGCGGCCAAAAGCAACGATTCCGTGCTCGCAGCTCGCTTCGCCCGGAATACTCCCCAGACATTTACGCCGCTAGTATTCTAAAACATCCATAAAAAAGAACAATGCCCTCTGCTTACATAAATAGCAGCATTTGTACGCCAGCGCTGCTCGTACCCGTCGATCCGATAATGCTCAAGCCGTTCGAGCAGGTACTCGTTTCGTTCGCTAAATAAATGTGCACTAGAAGGTAGGAAGGTTTACTTTTTCCGAGCTGGTAGGCCCTTCAGAATCTCTGTGTAGATGCCCTCCTTGTTGAATTTCTCGTTGACAATGCCGCCCATCAGCGCATGTTCAGAAATGCGCGTGTGCTCGCAAAACTAAATCGGATAAAAAAGGTGTATATTTGAAATACCTCTGGGTTGAAGATGTTCCATGCCCAGTATAGTGCTCCGATGAAAGTTAGCTAAATAAGGATACGAACCAGGTGAAAAAAGGTACCAATGAAAACAAAGGCGCCTTGTTCAGCAGCTTTTCCAAGTATGGCGGACGCTCATTGGCCCCTAGCGCGGCTCGCATACCTAAACAAAATTTCCGTCATTGTTTATTCTAAATTAAATTTAATAAAAATGGAACGTTTAATATTAAAACACTCGCACGGCGTACAGTTTATTTTGAAGTTGTTTGTTCCGAATGCATACTCAGGCCGCCCCCACCGTGACATATTTTCAACGCCCAAAAATGTGCACGGGATCGGTCATTACAAGTTTCAGGTTCTCACGTACGACTTGTTTTTTCGCCATATTCTTGCCATTGAAAGTTTCTTATAACCGCATTTTTTTAGAATGGCCCTTCGACAGAGTACTGCCTGCCTTATGAGGACCACGACCCGTGTTCTCGTCCACGGAGACGGCGCTGGCAAGGTGAGTTACTTTCCCTTCTCTTTTCGACGTCGAACTTCTTTTTAATAGCTTCTATTTTTAGTCCGGCGGCACCGGAGGCTCCATCCGCGATGCCGGTGGCGCTTTCGGAAAGATGGAAGCCGCGCGCGAGGGCGAGTACTTCCACAAGCTGCAGCAAAAGCAAATCGACGAGCTGAAGAAACATCTTTCGGTTTGTTTCTTTTTTGACATGACGATAATCTTCTCGTAGGAAACCGTCGCCCAGACTGAGGCCCAATTGAAGCAACACCAAGAAGCCCTGAACCGCCACAAGAAGGCGTTGGCCGACCTCGAAAAAGCCGGCAAGAAATAAGCAGTCGTCCAGACTCCGATTTACGTTGTAGGTATAAAAGCATGCTTCCGTTACTGTCATTAGTCCTTTTCGTTTTGTATTTTTTGTATACTCTTCAGTGAAATAAATTTTACGAATTAGCTAACCACGGCGAGGCGTTTCAGTAGTAAGATACATCAATTTATCGACAACGCAAAGGGACAAAATCAAAACACTGAAAATCACAGCAATGGAGATAGTGCACGGCAGGGTTATTTGAGGCAGTTTTGGGCTTACAAACGTTGTCGCTCGCTGAATACACGCATGATTGTGCCGAGCCCGAAATGGTTTATCACCTAAATTATGACGTTAGTTTGGGCCAGAAGTGGGCTTTTTCGATGCAACCGAGTAAAAAAGTTGTAACTTACCAGGGAGTGCCAAAGCAACAATGATGTTGCGACTGCCGTGTCCTGGTTCAGCTCCATGCCCTTGTAAATGTATTTCATCAAAATATCACCCTCATCCGCGGATAGTGCCTAAAATATCTCGTTGCCATCGAACTGTTAACCAAACCTTGATGGCGGGCTCGATCTCACTGTTTTTGAACGTTTGAAGCACCTTCACGACAAGCAACGTTGACCGATCTTTCACTTGCTAAAGCCAACGTGTGCCTGAGAACGAAACGGAACCTGGTCCTTTGCCGCAAGTGGAGGGTTCGCCAAACCCGCGTGTAACGCATCTACGAGACGTGATGACGACAACATTGCTTGGACATTGCGCTCATCCGGGCCGGAAGACCCAGTATCGTACGCATTTTGTCCTAAAACGTTCAATAATTTGCGGATGGTCAAATCGACCCAAAGACGTCGGTAAAAAGACTGTACCTTCTTCTTCGATGTAACGCTCTTCGTCAAGCGCATCGACATCTATTTTCCGATAATCGGCACTCATCATGTTCTTCGCCATGACTGTCGCGATTAGCAAGTTTTGAAGGCCTAGAAATGGTAAGGTGCGAGTCCTAGTTGGGGCAGTAAGATGGAGAGAGGAGGGGTGACCGGCGAGACACAGAATGGTTAATTCCTCAACAACCAGCGCCCCCCACGAGGTGAATCAACAGTCCTCCCCTCCCAGCCCATCGATATTTGCCAAGCGTGCCTGAGGTAGTTCACATAGATAACCGAGGTCCTTACAACCTGAATTCATATCCGATAGAATGCAGTGATATTTATTGAACGGCGTCTACAACCAAATGGAGATCCAAAAACGCGCAAAATGAGAGGATAACAACGTTATATAAATAAAAAGGAACAAAAGGGGTCTGGTAGGCCCCCAGGATGCGTCGACCCGACACGCTCCCAGGCCTATTTATTGTACTTCTTCCGCTCGTAGAACATGTCCGTTTTGGCGCTTCCGACGTTCACAATCTTCGGGCATCCGTCCCTGTCCTAGAATTGACGCTAATTTAGTTTGATTACAGCAGCAACCTTCTCCTGGATCGTGCATTCCTTGCAGTAGTAGGCGTCATTGATTCCAGGGCCACCGCAAATGATGCATCGGTTCTATAAACAACTTGCTTACAAACCAAACACAGACAAATGACCTGGAAGCTGCCGTAATTGCACTCATCACAAATACGGACCAAGGTGGCGGGGCGTACAAAGGAGTCGCAGATGATGCACCTAAACACAAGATCCTAAGGGAAATATTTCACTCACCGCCCATCACATTTCTCGCACAGCCGCCCTATAGCCACTCCCGGTTGCTTCCGACAAAAGATGAGATCGGGATGGTGCTTGGCCATCCCTAATAAATAATGATTTAATGTTCTGTAAATCATCCAAAACATCATTAATATTGGGATAAAACCAGGGTCTTAAAAATAGAGTCGTTTTGGTGACATTTATTTCGCATAGAACCAATTAGTTACGGATACACAATCTTATCAGCAAATTAAAAAAAGCGAACGTGCATATAAAACAAATAACCGAGGTATGGAGTGATGGTTCTTGAGAACAATGAGATCAATTCATGAACGCCGAGCGGGGAATCAGGGAGTCTTGTATAAAAAAAGAAGGGTATCGTCTCTTATGCCATTTCTTGCAAAATTTCCTAAATATCGGTATAGAAAACTTTCCGTGCGGTTACCGTAATGACGCCCTTGAGGAAAGATTTGCGCTCCACCAGGTCCGAGTCGGGAAACTTTTCGCAGACAGCATCGCACATTTGGCGCATTGACACCTGCACAGAAAATTAGATTATAAAGGACGTAACAATAAAATATACCTGGGTGAGGTCGAATTCTTTCAAAAGCTTCCCAGCAGCTTTTCGGATGAGCGCGGCGTTCGGGCGCTTCGGATCTTCCTCCTCTTCTGCTTCTTTTTCTTCTTCGTCTTCTTTATCTTCTTCTTCTCCTGAGGCTTTAACATCACCCTTCTAAAAAAAAAATTAATGAAGCCGGAAAACCAAACCTCGTCTGTAGACTTGGTCTCAGTTTTCACAGATGAGTCGTCGTTTTCATCTTCCCCTTCATCGCTACTCTTGGAATCAGAATCTTCCTCCGAGTCAATCTTGGCCTTTGACTTGGCTGTCTTTTTAGGGGACGCTGTCTTCGGGGGGCCGCGCTTAAAAGGAAAATAGGTACAAGAACAATCACACCGGACCGTAGGAAAATGTTCTTGCTCAAAAAACGCCACTGACCTTCTTCGGTGTAGGAGCCGCGTAATCTTCCTCGTTGTCCTCGCTTTCCGGTTCATCTTCGGACTGCTCACTTTCGGAATTCGCTGCTTTCTTCGACCGTTTTGCGGGCTATAATGGAAATGTCGACCCCAATTTCTACCAATACCGTTGCTTTCGCCTTCGAGGCTCGCTTCTTGGCGGCAGTTTTCTTTTCCTTCTTTGCCATTTCGGCTTGTGTAGACTTTCCAGAAGGGTTGAGCAGATAGTTCATCAAATTCTCTGCCTAATTCCGAATTTCAGAACAAGGAATCTTATAACCTCTTTCTCGCGGGTAGGCGCTGCATGGTGGAGGCCGACGCCAGAACGAAGCTTCTTTACGTCGGCAAGTTTCATCTTGTTCAGGATATCAACACGTTTTTGCCATTCGTCTGATTTCTCATCGAACCACCACCTGAAAAGTAAATAATTTGCCTTTGCAACAATACCCGTTGAACTGTCGAAGGGCGCGTTTGAAGATCGTTGCATGGGCAGCCTGTCCTTCACGACGATACAGAAGTTTATGGAGCAGCTTCAGATCGGCCGGACGGGACTTTGTGATATATTCGTTAGCTAAAGCAGCAAAACAGTTATTACAAGTGACGGAATTATACCTGAACTAATGTCTCCCAACGCCATCCCGGCACCCTTTCCTGCGACATCTTCGACATTCTGCTTCTCGGCCTTAGGGGTTGCAATTACGAAGTGGTCCACCTGAAACAAAAAAAGCTTATTTATACTAGTGGGAATATACCTTGACGCGCGATCTTCTTCCCTCGATGATCAAAGGTTTGTCGAGGACACCCAGTTTCTTTTCTTCCGGCGCATCAGGGGTCTCAGTTGTTTGCTTGGTTGGTGATTTCTTCGGCGACTTTGATGGCCTGGGCTTTTCTTTATTTTCTGCGGGCTTCTCTTCGTCCACTTTTCTGATGTCAGCTGGCGACGATTCTTCCAATTCGGGCCCCGTGGTTGGGGGTGGGGTCTCTTCGGGCTCTTCGCTCTGAGCACCCTCGATAGAAAGATCCACCTAAGCAGATGTTTCGAAATCCCACTCGAAATATACCTTTTCCTCGTCCGACATGTCGATAGCAAGCGTTGGAAATACTAAAAGTCAAGTAAACAAAGAAAAGATTAGTCATCAGGTATTAGACGATCTAACAGTTTCGACGAGCATCCGCAAATTCGTATATTTTATTGTATGGGAAAGGTCAAAAAGGGTAAACCGGAATCAGACCAGCAGAGAGAGATATCGGTGTTATACTGCGGAAATGTTTCGCCCAAACCGACTGGAGATTATGCACAGATATAGACGGGGCTATGCTATCCACTCCGGATCACAGAGCTGCAATTGCGCGAAAGAAGCCATTTCAGAATACTGAGGGTTCGTAAAAGGTTTGAAAGGGAGCGCGATTTCTACACAATTTGCGGAATAAATATGAGAAACCGTTTGCTGATCAGGCACATGGCGTGGCGGAAGAAAATGACAAATAATTTCTCAAGGTAAAGTCAATTTTCGTAGGGGGGGATGGGGCAGGCAAAGGCATGCTGTTGGGGGCTTTTCGATTGCGGTGCGTTTGAGCAGCAAAGCAGGAAAGTGAAAAAATTGCGCTAGCGAGATTACTTAAAGTATGGCGCAACTCCATCCTGAGAAAAGGCCCTTCTTTTCCTTCGGGCTGCCAATGGCCACTCTGCCCGTTGTGCCACCGACGCCCACCGTGTTCCCTTGGCCGCGTTCCATTTTACTCTAAACAATAGTGTCATCAATGCCCCGTCCAAATACCTTGATATCCCTAGCAAGCGTGAAGAATGCATCCTCAATGTTCAAGTTCGCCTTTGCAGAGGTCTCCATGAATTTGGTACCGTATTCGATGGCCAGCTGAAGGCAGATGTGACAAGCAGAAATTATGCCAAACCTGCTGCCCGCGTTCCCGGGAAATTACTCGTCGATCCTCCATGTCGCACTTGTTTCCAATAATCATTCTTTCGACATCCTCAATAATCAATTTCGTTGCAGGAATTTTGAAAAAGTATTACTTGGCTTGCATGTTCCTCAATGTTCCGAATCCAGTTCTTGATGTTCTCGAAAGATTTTTCATTTGTGATGTCGTAGACAAGCATAATTCCCTGTGATATGTGTACGAAATTTCGGAAATAGTGATACCATAGCCCCGCGGTAGTAAGCCGTAGTTATCGTTCTGAATCTCTCTTGTCCGGCAGTATCCCTAAACGAACTATTGAAAAAAATCGCCACGAAATACCAAATCTGTAGTTTGATCTTCTTTCCGTCCAAATCAATTGTTCGAATCTTGAAGTCAATGCCTAAGTCGAAAGTTAACATAATATAAATAATTCACCTATGGTTGAAATAAACGAGTTGTTGAAGGAGTCATCGGAGAAGCGGAAAAGTACGCAGGTCTTGCCGACGCCACTATCGCCAATCAGAAGCAGCTAGAATTGTAAACTACTTTCCAAGCACACCATGCGGAGAATTTTTTGCGAAGACGTACCTTAAATAAACAGTCGTAATTTTTCGCCATGGAAGACTGCCCGGACGAACAATATGAGTGATTGTTCGCTAAAGCTGGAGTGTAAAAAAGGCTCTAGCACCGAAAGACTATTTCAAAAAGAGAACGTCGGGGTGACGAGCGCTACATCCGCGCCTAACGACGCCCGGCAAGCAGTGGGTCAAAGGCGCGAAAACACGGGCATTGCATTGCGTTTAGTCGCGGCAGAGATGGATTCGAAGCCTGTAAATAAGTCCGCAACTCGATTATATCCATTTATTCAGAAAGTTCATCACAATCGGGACTACTTCAAAGAAGAACACAATTAAGCAAAAGAGACATAGCAAAAACACTTGAACTCATCAGAAGAATGATGCCAAAAGGTCAATCGTCACTATTTTTTCAGGAGGTGGTCGAATTTATGGCAGATGCGCGGGCCGTACAGTAGGACGTAGGCAGTATGGTAGTCCCCTCCACCAGAAAGCTTCTTGACCTGGAAAAATATATAAGACACATCCAGCTATAGCTTACGTCCTCCACGTGAACGGGGGTCACCTCATCATCGTCACATTTGACCCACCTGAACATAAGCTTGAAACGAAATAATAAAACAAACTTGTCCTCGGCCATGCGAACCCAGGCCACATAGTGGCCAGCTTGCGCGGAGCGGCCCTTATGTGTGATAACGGCCTGAAGGTCGTAAAAGCCGCTATTGTTCGAGCCGTGATCATCCGGGAAAGAATAGGGCAGCGGGATCCCTTTCTCCTAAACGAATCTAATTCATTTACATACACCCCTTGCCTCAACGTCGGCCTCGTCGACGGCTTGTCGGCGCTGAGAATCGTACGCGAGTTTCGCGTCGTCCTGCTTCTAAACGAAACCTAAAAAAATTTTTGAAAAATAATTACTCGGAATTCATCGCGATGAACGGCCATAGCTTTTTGCAGGCGAGGGGTGCACATATCCGCTACGTCAAGACGAAGAGGAAACTGGACATCCTTCAGAATTTTCACGTGACTCTGGAAGAAAATAGGATAAGAGACACACAAATATACCTTGGCGCTCTCCTTGTAAAAGAAGCGCACAAATTGGATCGATAGGTAGCCCGGTAGGCGTTCGATGAGAGTCTGAAGAAAAGTGATATCGAATAGATTTTTGTTACCTCCTTGTTGTAAACAGCATCCTTTCCGAGGGTCTGGCTGAATTTCGTCACGGTCTCTTTCATCTTCGACGTTAGACCAGTCTTCATATAACGAATGTCTTGTCCGAGGTAACAGGAAAGCTAAAGGAATTGTCAATGAAGACCGAACTATCAAACCTGCAAAAATTCTTCGTGCGCCGTTTCCGGATTTTCCTCCGGGTTCTCGGTATTTGTATAGGTGATTTCATAGACCCCCGTGAAATAGCGATCAATGTTTGCCTCAGAGCCCTCTGAAGCAAAAAAAGATTCCAAAAATCTAAGCTGCAAACGCACTCGGACGGCAACCTTCCTGCCTTTTCAGCTCGTCGAGTGTCACACGCATGATGCCTGTGAAGCATTCATTGGCATCCTGCTGCTGGTACATTCCATTCGGCATCTTCTCCTTGAATTGAGGAAAAACGGCATGCAGACTCTAAAATCAAAATGTAACCCGACTTCTGATCAACCCACCAAGAGCATCTCCAGGGTGTTCATAAACCCGGCTGGCTTGTGGTCGATAATCCGAGAAGAAGCCCGCATCGTGTGCACCAGATTCTCGCGTGGCTTTTGTTGGAAGTTAGGGCTCAGTTGAAAACGCTCGAGCACCTCTCGATACTCGGGCACAGTCTAAATCGAATAACAGAAAGCCAATCAAGCTTACGTGCATAGCCTGGAGGACAGAATTCATGTAGCAAGAATTTCCGCAATTCTCCAGGCCGGCCGGCATGTATTGTTCAACACGTTGAGCGCCTAAATGAAAAATAACGACAACTCTGAACGGTACGAACCTTGAGAGGGCTGCTCGCCAGGCGTCGATACTTGAATTTCCGGTAGAAGAGGCTGCGTCGATCCCATCATCATCATCACCATTCCGGGCGCGATTTGCAGGCCATCCCACGAGTTTTGGATGGTCTTGCCCTAAAAACAAGGCGATGAAAAAAGGAAAAGGTCGATTGCCTTGATGATCAACTTCTGGCGCGACGGCGGCACACCGGTGAGGCTGAACAGCTGGGACTTGAACGCCTCGGGCTCCTCGTCGACGTTCAAGGGCAGCTCATACTTCTCGCGCATCCATTTCACGGTGACAAGCGGGGAATTCTCGTCGCTCATGTTTCTGGAATTGTATGAATATTGATGTATGGGCGATGAGTCGCGAGAGGACGGAAAAAGATTGGTGTGGTAAAATCCTTTCATAATTCAAAATCCGACTTCTTCGAGAAATCCGAAGTTGCAAAAATCCGAATTACTTGTTCAACTAGTCCGCAGTGCGCCAACTTACGTGTTCCGTAATTTGTACTTTTACGGAACGGAGGTCGCGTTTTTTATATTTATATTTATTTTTTTATTTTTATTATTATATAAAACACAAAATTAAACCTGAAATATAAAATTTATCCTGAAGTTGCCGGATTTTCCTGATTATGGTTATTTTTTTACACGTTTCAAGGTTACTTGAAAGCTACCTCTTCCATGGCCTTTTCCTGGATTTGGGGTCAAACCCAAAAACTCAATTTTAGCTTTTATTTTGGCCATTGCTTCGTATCGGCATCCCCTGCGGGCCTCACCGCAATTTCGGAGGCATCAGATCTTATCTGATGGCAGCGCCCCTCCCCCTTTCATTTCTCATAGACGCGAGGCTTTTCCCCCCGGTCCCAACCTTGCTCTTTCTCTTTTGCAACCAAAAACATCCATTTATCCGATTTATTTCGTTTTTGTTTGCAGAATTTAAAGGTTCTTAGTTGCCGACTTTCGAGCCATATGTTCGAGTCAATTCAGGGTCTGACTTTCTTTTCGGTACTAGAGGCTTTTTGGGGGACCTCTTCTTAGCTAGTATTTGTGCCGTTTCCCAGGCGGGGTCGCCGGCCATTGATAAATGATAAGTTGTTTCGGCAGCCACACCTCAGGCGCCCCATCCCTTTGCAATGCAGCATTCGCCCAGTCCATTGACGTGCGACCAACCTTCGACTAGTTACCAGGTAGGTCTACTGTAACTTTCAATAAATACGAATATTCATTCTAGACTGACGGTCCAGTCGAGCTTGAAGAAGAGCCGACTTCGGAGAATTTGCGAAGAATACTTGATCAAGTACAGTCGACGATGCAGATGCGAGATGTAGGATTGGAGATTCCGTGGTATAATGATTGATTTTAGGCAGCTCCACCCTTCGAGGAGAATCACACCTCATCCGGGGCGACGTCCCCAAATCCCGATGCGATTCTGGCGGGTCGAATCTTAGGCCCGCATCGAGTGAAACATTACGAGGAAGCTAATGATGCCACGTTCACGGTGAGTTACTTTGAGTGCCGCTGCGACTTGAAGATACATGCCCCGATTTTAGGTTGATGATGGAAGCGGAAAGCAGTTGCACCTGGAAATATTGTCCGACGATCCAGTTTTGCATGATTTGAAGTCAACGACTATCTTGGCTGAGGCTAACGCGCTTCTTTATGTACACGGTAAGTCATCGAACCAAAATTTCGATTGACTTTCGGGGGTGTTTTATTTGTTGTTGTGATAGTGATCTCTGTCTCTAGCAGCTTTTCCTCAGATTTTATCAGGCAGCCATATTTCTTTCCTATTTCGGCCGCCAGCACACCCCATTTTTTTATTTACGCTCGCTTCAAAAAATTGTTAGCCGGTGCATACAGCTGTTCGGGGCGAGATGCTGAACCGGAACGTGATAGGGTCCGTTGGAGCGGCCCAATGATAAGTTTCGGCCGAGATGGAGGACGGGCGATTGGCCGGAGATAAGGCTTTTGTGTATGGGGGGCAGGTTCGAATGGCAGTCTGTGTGTGCAAGCCTGGGTGAGAGATGGTGGTATGGATCTATGGCAATCAGCCAAATTCTAGTTAGTCACTGGCGGGGGCGACGCCGGAAATCGTGATGTGACTCATTTCTGAGAAGTAGCTAGCTTAATTTCGGGTAATTTCTGGCAAGGATGGATTATGGATTTCTCCATAATGGATTAGACGGTTATGGTTTCTCTAGGATTTCGCGGTTCTTTCGTATTATCGGGGGGTATAAATAGCGGAAGTGTTTCTAAACTGTTTTCACTATTTCTAAACGTAAAAACTTTACTAATATTAACCAAAAATACAAAAAAAAAAGATTTTTAGGCCGAAAATAACTCTTTTGGGCACATTTCGACCTTTTCAAAACTTTTTAAATAGTTTTTCCGGTTGAAATATAATTTTATTTCACTAAGAACGTTATTAAAATGCTTCCAATTAAGTTACTAGGCGTTGCTAGGCTTCTACAAAAAAATTGTTTTGCCCCGTTAATGCGAAATAACCTAATTTTGTAGTATTTTCGGTAGTTTTTATAATTTTTAACAACTTTCTGTAGTTATAAACGGCTTTGCAAAGCTACAAAAATCATGTGTTTTTTTTTATTCTTGGGAGTTTACTGGGTGATGCGCCTAAGTTGGGTTTCCATCCCATTCTCCACCTAATCCAAATAGAAAAACTGTTTTCCTGTAGCGCGGCGCGGCGACGGGCTTGTGCTTCCACGCTGGAATGCGTTGGGCCGAGTGATAGGCACCCCATAAGCAATATTATCACCCCCAAAAATGCCCCGATAAGGAGGCGTCGAACCTTTGGGTGCCGGCCCACACAATACTTCGACGCGCATCGAAACTAGCAAATGTGTAGTGCGGGGGGTTGGGTGAAAATTGCGAAAGTTTACACAAGGTTAGGTACGTTTTTCAGAAAATATCCTCTGGCTGATGACGGTGCGGCCAATCTCGCCGGGACAACCGATCACCGGGCTGTTGATCAAGTCTGGAAAGGACAAGGAAGAGCTCGGGGGAGAAGATGAGGGTATCTATCCTTTTTCATGTTTGAAAAAACGTTTTAAGCAAAACTTGGAAAAAAATATGCGCGAGCCTGCTCATTCGGGAGGGCTTTTTTTCTCAGGGACTATCATTTTAAAAATTTTTGTAGGCTTGGAAAACAGGTCATTTTAGACGATTTTCAACTAAAAAGCTCTGTAGCTGCTTGAAAATGGCCATTAGCAGATTCTTACAACCGTTCCTGCAGCTGCACCAACTCTAAAACCTAATAGAAATTCTGCACAAAAACCGAATTTACGCTAAAACGTCTCCTTGTAAACATATATAACGGAAATGATTTTCTAGGCAGCAACGCAGGCCCGAGCACCTATGGCAGTCATCCCTGTGAAGATTGTGGTGTCTCTTTTAAATCACAAGAAAACCTCACGGCGCACCGACTGCATTATTGCAAAGCCAGATTAACGAATGCGAATCGACCTTTAAATGGGATAGGGAATGGTAGGTTCTACCTTATTTTACTCAGAAAAAGGATTTTCAACTTCCGATAGCCTTGACCTATTTTTCTCTCTAGTCCTGGATAAGCCATACCAACCAGACCCACTCAATAGCTAGCCAAACCCGATCCACCTAGCCAGAGCTCGCCGCACCGCCCGTTGGCCCCTTATCTTGGGGCCAATCTGCCGGCTTTGGGCCGCAAGAAATTGGGGATCTGGAAAAAGGGAGGCCGATAAGGGCCCACGTGTGATAGATGGAGTCGCAGATCGGGGCCCAGATAAGGCGAGAGGGCCCGTGGGTCCTGCGCCTGCCGCGGGTCCCCCCTAATGAACTACGATGAGTGATGCACGGCAGTGTATTGCCGTCAGCTTCTGGGTTTTGGGGCCCGGGATTTGGGGTTTCGAGAATTGAGATAGGTGTCAAAGCTTTTGGGTTTGTAGAAAAGGCAAGAAGAAGGATTTGCCTGTAAATGGCTATTTTTCAGGCCCACAACAGCTCGGACGAATTCCGCTGACGATCCCGCTACCCGGTGGCCTACACGTGCCACTCTCCTCTGCTTCAACGTCCGTCCCGCCACTCCCAACGAACCGTCCCTTTTTCCTCGGCTACCCTCCAAAACTCGGTTTGTTTTCCGGGCCATTTCGGTTGTAGCGTTGCGTGTTTAATGGAGCAAATTGGAAACCTATCTTTTTCAGCAAACTTGAATGCCGCGCCCCCATCAAACATCATCTTCCTTCCGGTGGCTTTTCTCGATACCGAGGACGAGAATGCAGTACAAGTGAGACTGAATTCCAGTCAAAAGACCATTTTTAGTTATGTGGTCCTCCCCAGACCATCATTCCGGTGGCGGTAGGTCGTGGTTCACTCCCGGATACGCTCAGCGCCTATGGGATGCCCAGAATCCTCGTTAATTCAGACGTAAGTTGCTTGAATTTAAAACTATGTGCGCAGTGTCTCACCGGAAGTTTCAGCTCAATTCGTCAGAGACAAACTTTTCTACGGGAGATATCAACTTGTCGATACCGTTAGTGCAGCTCGACCGATCGACGTGAGTCTAACAGTTTATTCAAAAATTGCTCATACACGCAAAGTGGAAGGCAAGTAGAATGAGATCTATGTAAATTACGATTCGGTCCTGCCCTCAAATTCGATTTTGCCGGTCACCGATCTGATGGCTTCCAGCACCTTTTTTCGCTCATCTAAATGCACTGTCAATTCCAAATAAAAAACCCACATAAAGATTCGCATTTTGAGAGCATCATCGTGAGCTCGTTTCGACGAATTTTCACGAGTCTTTTTTGGAGGGTGCGGATCGATCTGCCTATAAGACACGAAATTAAAGATGAGGGTAAAAATTCCTTACCAACAAACAAAATGCTGGCCGTGAGGCTGACACCCTTGAGAACTCTGATGAATGGCAACACAGAAAAGGCGATTGTCGAATCATCAGCGGGAACTCGTATAACTGCGATATCGTCTTCCATTATTTTTACCTAGACAAAAGTTCTGGCTCATATTCGATATAGTTACCGTGATTCTGGAGCATTTCGCGTGCCCAAAGTCGCCGTGAAATTCTGAGATGAGCTAAAATGACGTCTAAATTTGTGAGACAACCTAACCCTTAGCATCTCCCGATAGAGCTCATGTCCCGGAATATTCAGCTTGGCCTTGTCTGTGCTTTCGAGTCGTACGAGTACATATCTAAAACGATCTTGAAATGCTTTGAAAGCGTACCTATTTTTTACTTTGACCATGGCTAAGTACGTTGGGCCTGGAAAGAACGTACTGTACTTAAGTTAATAATTCCAGAAAGCATTAAATAG